TCAAGAGAATCTGGAATCGTCAGGCGTTGACAACGACCTGGGCTTTGAATTCTTTGACTCCATCAAACCGACCGTGTTACCCCTCCATCCAGTGCTCCTGTTGGAGTACGTGGAGGAGGTCACTGGCACTTTTCGCGTCTGCTTGATCTTCAGCTTATTCAACCAGAGATCTCTGGTCTTCTTATTACCCAGCACGAAGAACAAGAATAGAACGAAACCTTGATATGTTGCCGTTAAAGTGAAAAGGTAAGCTGCGACAATGTTGAAAGCGAACAGTCCAAAGACCCAGGGCAGTCCAAAGAGGAACACGAGTAGACAACTCACCGATGCACACCGTAAAGCCTCGTTAGAATCGCCGTGTCTCTGGATCCTTCTAGAAGCAAACACGGAGCGGACTATCAGACAGAATAGTGTCCAGTTTGCGAGTAGCATCAGCGCTATCGGCGCGTAAACAGTCAGCCACAGAGCGAGACCGGAAGGATAGCAGAAAGTCCCACTGGGTACCATCTCTTCAAAACGGCCCGCGTAAGAATTAGGGGCGATTGAGAGTAGGATCCCAACAACGGCACAAGGAGCTCCCCAAGAGAACGCCGAAGCTCTCAATAGTTTATGTGAGGCGTCTCTTGTGAAAACCAGAACCAATCTCCTATAAGATAGTACAGCTGCAACCAGCATCCAACAGAAGGAAGCTAGAATGGAATAGTGGAGAGCGACTCCCAATAACATGCACCCAACATTATTCTGCTCGAACTTCGCAAAGATCACAACTAGAAAGCAGACAACGTGGAACAAGACAGCTATGCAGAGTTGTAGCCAGATTTTGTTGCTGTAGTCTCTTCTCCAGGTCCTGAAGATAGCGGCTGTCAGTCCCACCATGAATAGACCAAAAATAGAGAGACAGCATCCAATTATGGTAATCAATTCCAGTGCGTCTTCGTTGCGCTGGGAGAAGACCGCTTTCGCTACGAGGACCTCCGCGAAGTGGGTGAGATGGGTGCATCTACATGTGTCTAGAAGACCGGGACTCGAGGCTTGTATGAAGGTACAGCCCTCCTGGGACCAATACCCTCCGCCATCATTCAGGAATTCCCAGTAAGCGCATGCGCGGCTCACGTTGCGATCTGGTTCACTCGTGATGGGACTGATGTGGATATCGACAACCTGCGAATTTAAATTAATAGATAGTAATCAGGCATTATATCCACTACCTCAAATCATCTCGTGTGTGTCGTAAGAGACGGCTGAGGTAAACTGAAACGGAGGATGGGCAGCAGTATCTTCCTAATAATAACTTAAAGTAATAAAAAACTGCCGTTGTCAACTCGTCTGCCAGGCGTAGCAACTATGGCAAAATCCCCTCTATGAGGTAATCTATAGGGGAGGGCTATGCTCAGCAGTGGACTTTTATAGGGTGTAATGGATGTAATCAAGCATTGATCGACTGAAACAGTCTGTAATGGAGGATGTAGAGTTATGATAGAGAAATTCAACAGAACTTCTCTTTAAACTAATTTTACTTCGTTAAAAATTTAACAACCATACTCTTCAATTACTAGCAAAAGAATAAAGGATTTAAATTAAGTATCGCTTTTAATCGCTGTCATTTATACTGTGGTAATCCATAGATATTAAATAATGTTGCCAGTATGAAATCACAGAATACATAACCGATAACAGAAATAGTCAATAGTATACAGGAACAAAACTAATATCGTACGTGATGCTTACGCTACCTAAAGAGTATTGTTTTATAGAATAAGGGTAACAAGCAAAGCACAACCCACCTGATAGTGAGTAGATGATGCAGCCAGTAGACATCTTCATCTAACCTCAATGTCATCCCTTAGGACTAAAAAAGAAATGGCAACGACCGCTAAATATAGTCTTCGGTTCTCTACACACATTACACGAAACACTGGTATATTGTGAGAGTATGTCCCTACCCCGTTAGAGCCGACTCATTTGTCTTGGGTTGGTGGACGTTTGGGGAGTAGATTTGAAGGATAAGGTGGATATTCGCTTTTTCGGTAACAATGCATCAGCATTTTGATTCCTAATGCATTCCTAATGGATAGAGGATAGATAGATGTCTATTATCCACAACATCTTTTTACTATCAGGTGGTTAGTGTGCTGGTTTGTCACTCTTCTTCTATATAAACAGATATTCCTAAGAGGAAACTGAACCAGCAGATGAACAGTAGCATCTTCCTGATGATAGCTCAATAATAATAAGAAAGCTATTGTTATGGACTTTCCTATCCAGCGTGACAAATGTCACAAATATCCTCTCCATGTAGCAATTTATGGAGCAGGAATACGTCCAGCAGTAGACTTGTAATGAATCTCTTTTGGACAAAAAAGGGATAGTAAATTTTCTTAAACCATGATAATATTATGTTAAGTCTTTACTAAAAAAAAATAAAAAGATTTTACGAGGTAGAGCCACGCTGCAGCTATATTATGGTTGTAGCTTGAATGTGTCAGCTCGACCTGAGAAGGACCACACTCTCACAGAATATTGTCGTAAAATGGCAGCCTAATGCTTCGTATGGTGAGTGTACAGAATCGGAGACACTTTTTACTGGAAACGAGGCCTTCCATCTTAGTCCTCAGGGCTGAGAACACATCTGCACAAGAATGAATGTTAATGTCTATGGGCCTCATCATCCGCTAACCATCACGTAGAATGTGTGCTTGATAGTCACCCTTATATTTTAAAAAACACTACTACACTACTTTCTAAAACGACTGCTGATTAAATTCGTATGCAACAATACCAACCTCTCCGCTGCTGAAATTAGTGACGTTTTCCACGTTGATGCTCAACACTTTACTGTTGACGGGGAAATTGGACTGGAAAGCGCGGTCGTTGCGGAACACAACAAAGCTGATGCGCGTTGAAGAATCCGCCACCGACTGAGGTAAGTTGATCACAGCTTCGTTCTCTACGTTGCTTAGAGTGGCGGGGTTTAGATTTTCTGGAGTAGAAAATTTGTTTTTAGTTTTTTCATATATATTTCTTTAAACTGAAGTAATAAACTTACAATCCACCTGATTGTAAGTGGCAAAAGCGGCTCATCGCAAACTTCAAACAAAGAAAGCTACAGATGCGTTGTCATCTCCAACGAACATTTAGAACGCCTCTTCAAAAGTTGGTTTCAGGTGTCAAAGAACCGCAGTAACCACTTACCATCAGGGGGTTTCCATCTTAGCCCTCATAAGTGACAGTATCTGTATCCTTCTTTTGTAAAGTTGGCTGTTTTTCTCCAACTTTCCATCAACTGAATTGAGGGTTAGTTTGCCACGTTGTTGATGATGTTTGGTTGTTCTTATATGTATTTTACATTATCATAGATGCAAGTGTAACAAGAACATTAAAATAAATCCAGCACAATGATGCTTATTTCACCTGCAGTGGCAAGTTATTTTATAAGTACGATTTAACAAATAGTATAATATATAGATTTATGTGTGAGTGTATATAGGTGCGTGTATGTAGGTGTATTTTTTTACTTTTATGTATATCCTTAAAAATGTATCTTTTGAGTGAATGGTAATGACGCGGGCGCATTACAGAATTAGTATTTATCAGCGCTACCGATGAAAATTAGAGCCGCTTGAATACCTGCGGTAGCATATGCAGAAACGGAATCCTTTTTGGGATCACATCACTCACTTTTCCTGAAATTTATTTTTATTTATGTTTTTCATCTTGTACCTCGTAGTTTTTTATGTTCTTATTTACTTCTTAACGTATATATTGTGAGTGTATTGATGCTAATAAAACATAATATGTCTATGCCTTAGCTAGAAATACCGTTTTGATACCGGCGGAAGAAAAACGGAAGATCTTCCGCCAAACAAGGTCATGTGATAATTCTGAGCAATTCTATATATATCGCAGTAACTTCAGAATTTCGATAGCACGATTTAGGATTCGGTATGTATCGCTTGAGGTGCGACGGCAGTCCCGCCACACCGTGGTCTACACACTACCAACTGCTGAGAAACTCCGAGATTTCCATTCGAAACGCAACCGGCCCTTCAATTGTATTGCTTGCTTCGAACGCCCCGGGTACAGTTAGTTAGGTAAATGTCTGTAACGTGGTGCTACATTATGCAGTAAGATCGGGTCAACTTGACTGTGGAATGAACTTACTTAGTAAAAGAAATTTATACATGAGATCTTGCTCGATTTTGTCATAGTCTTTTCTCTTAAAACCCATGAAACGATATGGGATGATAAATTATTTTACACCCAAACATGTAGTTGAAAAATATAGAATAATAAAATAAAATATAAAATCATCAAGAATACAAAACTAATAAAATAGGTCCAGATTGTAAACCTTGCGGTAACACAAAATATCAAATAGCACCACACTGCGATATCATCTGAAAATATTCCATTTCATTAACAGGCATCAGCAATATCACTCTTACCCTTTGCATTGGATTTGAATATCAGATATTGAATCTATTTCAATATCAAAATATAGATACATACGTGGTTCTGAAAGTAAGTCAGTATTCAGAACTACACGGTGATACTGGACTTTCAAACAATCTGCTTTGTTTCGATTTATACCATTGTTATCACTTATTATCTTAGTATGTAAAAATAATTATAAACGAAATTGTAATGTGTTTTATATAGTGATTTTTATATTTATTTTACCTAATGTACGTATTACTTTTTGGCTAATATTTTTAGTGAAAGTCGATCATTTTTTTTAATTCGTTATCAAATCTGTCTATCATATATAATCGACGTTGTTATCACATCGAGTTTATTATTAGATATTCTGTGAAGTATAACTGACTTAGGCATACCTTAGACGCTCATGCAGGCTGTCAGTTTTACAACAATCACGGTTGTGGTTGACGAATAACCTACCGTGTAATGGAGTGATTGACGCTTGCATGAGCGCGTAATGTACGCCTATCAGTCACCATCCATTTTTTATTTGATACAATTGATTGATGCCTGCATGAGCGTGTAATGTACGCCTTATAGCAACGTAATATTTGGATGTCTTTGTAGCAAACACGACAACGCTGTACTGCATGCAGCGTCTCAGTGCAGTGGTATCTAATAGGTGCATAGATAGTCTGTGGCTCGAGTAATAAATATAGATATATTAAGATATAGCTTTATTATTTGTCACCTAGCTAATAATTAAAACATGCCAAATTACCTGTTAAAATTTCGAAAGATTCCTTAGTGAAAAAGCTTTGATTGCTCGCCGCGATCCTTAAACCCATAACCGGGCTCTTTGGCATGGCGTCGGCAACAACGAGCGCAATGTTGTTTCTCACAGCCGTAGCATTCGTGGATCCGTTCAGATACACTGAAGAGCCCAGCTTGTCTAGCAAATGGAGCAATCTACTGGGAATGTCTAAAGTGTCTTGCGCTACCAAAAGTTCATCCACCTGAAAAGATGTGAATAGAGATTTTAATTTTTTTATTCACTGCAACCTATTCAAAGTCCACTGCCGATGATAGACCCCTTGGATTGCATCATATGGGAAATATTTGCCATGGTTGCCACGCTTAGCAGGTCGATTTATCCCCGTAAGCACAAATATTTAAATAATACTAGTTTTTACGGATTTAATTGCGTATATTTAACATTTTAAATACCCGATGTTTCGAGCACTTTACAGCACCCATGATTACGGGGGGGACTGAGATGTTCAACGTCCAGATGTCATAGTTAACCGCGGTTACCGTAGATTAAATTTGAACTTTTGTTCCGATCTACACAGTATGTAATTATGGTATCTTGAAGTCTTGCAGTTGTATGCCCAACCCAGCTATCTTCTCTATTAAAATTTGGATGATTTTGATTTCGATAGCCTCGCGAATCATCCTTGGAAGGAATCGGTGTTCTTTAGCGAGGATTTGTGGTCTATCAAATCTGAAGTAGTGACGGGCGCGATCCTGTATGTATTCACAGACTGCAGACTTCCCGGAGCGTCAATTCTTCACATCAGCTACATATTCTTTAACGCAGGTTTTAATTGATCTTTTAGTTTGTCCTATGTAGGAGAAACAACATTCACAATAAGCTTGTACACATCTCCATCTTTCAGAGGGACATTACACTGCACTGATGGTAAAAACTGACCAATCTTCTTCGGCGGTTTGAAGTATGTTTTAATGGAAGCGCGCTTCTAGATGTAGCCAATCTTGTCAGTGACTCCTCTGACATATGGCAGTACAGTAGGTACACGCTCGACTGTAGTCGGCTTCACTCGTTCACTGTGACGTAGGTGTGGGACCCGAAGCTTGTTGTCATGCAAAACTTGCTTTAAAAACTAGTATTATTTAAATGTGTAGTGTTCTCGTAAATATAAGAAATCATAAACACAAATATTTCAAGATCTTATCGCGAGCTCAGCGGTGGAGGACGATATCGTGAGAAAATCTGCAGGTTTGAGATAATAATATTTTGATGACACGCTAAAACGTATTGATGTAGCGCGATGGACTCTGTTTTGTCCAAAAACTTTCTCAGAAATAGGAGGAGACATGTGCGCAGTGGATACAAGCATCAGTACGGGGTAAACGATGTGTATTTTTTTGACATTTGAACAAAATATTGTTGAAATGGATTCAAAGTAATATTATATTTTAGTTTTTATTTTTTAATATAAATTGGCCAGTTATATATAACTAATGTTCATCAAATGTTGTAATTCTCTAAAATATATTTTAAATATAATTCGTAATCTATGGTTATGAATAAAATCAAACTAAAACGTGGTGGTTATATTCTCTTTGAATCGAATTATCAATTTGTCTGATATTAAAATTGAACAAGGAGTTTTAATTTAATATTAAATACATTTAGCTAATATTTGGCAAGAAAGCTATGTTACACCACCTACTTAAAATCTTATAACCCAGTTAGTCAAGACTAATATGCCACCTGAATATAAGTGGCGATGTAGCCGATAATAATATAACGCGCGGACTTGCTTAAAAAGTCTATTCACTCTTGCCTTTAAGATACTTTTATTGTAATTGTATGGAAAGACAGATGGTGGTATTTTTAATATTTTATTACATAGAAGGTACATTCTCGGTTGTTTCTTGAACAACTTTTAAAACGTAAAACATCAGGGGAGTTTGTTGGCGAATACATCACCCACTTACATCCACTTACATCCTATACCTGCATGTAATTAACATCATAAATATGGATTTAAACTTAAAATGGAAACATCAACTTTAAACTTAAGGTGGTAGTACTATTTACATACGTCATTATCTTTAAACTTATTAATATCTACACATATAAATATTAATTAGTTTTAATTTAATATTAACTGTAATTACACGTATAATTATCCAGCAACCACGCCTTCAACTCTCTTTTAAATATATCTTTATTAACAAATTTGTCCCCGCCAATTTCTCATTGAAAATAAGTGCTAGTATATATTTTCTTGCTCTCTCGCTGTAATAATTGTAAACTCTATGCTCATTATACAGTTATTATTCAAAGTGTAGTCAAATTTTAAACTTAAGTTCAAATATATAAATAATTATACACCGTAATTGCAGTTTTTGAAAGATATTTAAAAAGAAAACATTCTTTTCTCATTTTATTTGATATTATCCCAAATTTAAAGTGATTTATGGGCAACAACGTTTATGCCTACCGATCGACCCTTAAGATTGTAGGTGTGCGCAGTAGAATCAGTTAAAATAATGCATTACCACGCATTTTGAATGTAAAAGATAAAAAGAAAGAAAAAAAAAGAACGTTTGAGATATTTTTTAATTAATTCTGCTTCACCATTTACCTATATTACTTATCCTGAACCTTCTCTGCAAATTTGGCCGGTTATTACAAAATAACCCTGTATTTCAATCTTTTTCTCTGAGAAACTAATCTGGTTCGAACATCAAAGTAGTGGGGACCGAGCGTCTTGTTGTCCGTAGAGAGAGGAAAGAATTAAGCCATGCAATTCCTACGCATACTTCGAATTGCATTCTGTTCTTTAATCCTAATAATACATATCTGTCAACTTACCTGATCGAAAACCGTTTCTACGTTTGATACTAGAACTGGAACGGAATTGTTGTTTACCAGTTTGTCAAGATCTTCCAGGACTTGCCATAACTGTTCCTCGGGCTGAAATTAAAATGCGAGTTAAGAAATTTAAAAAATACAAGGCGAACAAGGCGTAATTTGGGAATAATAAAGTTAAAACCATCAACCACGACACGTTAAAGGCGCTATAGGCGACTAACAAATTTTAAAAAAGCGTTGTTGCTATGAATAGATTTACTAGAGTAGCTACAGCAGAAAATTATTTTGAAAGGATAGTAGATTAACCCTTCAAGTGCCATAAAAATCCCATGCAGCGCCCAGCAAATCCCGAGCGGTCGCATGCGACCGCACTCACCCCCAGTACTTAAAACCATTAAAACTTATATTTAGAGACTACTTTTCTATGAAGAAGTTTAGCATTGTAAAATCTATACAAAATCCTCTATCTTGTGGTCTAAACAAATATCAGGTTTTACTTCAGTACAGAAAGATTTTATTGTATTTTGACAACAAAAAAAACATACCAAGCGAATGTCGGCAGCGTGAAAATCACAATTATTTCAATATATATTACTCGAAATTATTTACTTATTATATTCACACAAAAACTTTCATTACAATTTTATAACAAAACACTATACTAAAACACTAATAAAACACTAGAAAATTCCAAACATGAACACAATAACATTCACGCGAGAATGGCGTACGAAATGAACGTAGATTATAAATAAATATTCATAGGATAACAGTTTTTATATTGCACTACAGGATAGAGTATTTCATATTGATATAATTCCAAACTTCTTCATAGAAAAGTAGTCTCCATATATAAGTTTTTTGAGTTAAAGTACTGTGTGTAGGTGCGACCTCATGAGACCGCTGGGGATTTGACGGAATATGGCCGCGGTCTCATGAGACCACTAGGGCATTGAGAGATTAAAACAAGTGAAAAATTTAAAAATCATGTATTAAAATTTTAATACACCATAAGTTTTTTTTTCAGATTCCTACATTGTCACCCGATTGTAAGCTACATTCAAAACTTCAAGTATTTAGCTCTTCGGGAAGTTAGTTCAAATTCAATTACTAAATTCGACCCGAACAGGCACCACAAAAAAGTGAGTTTATTAAACTTGGCAAAAAAATATTCGACAAACTAAATTTTAATTTGTAGGTCGAAGAAATTGTTGTTTCGTTCTTTTCGTTACAAATCGAAGGTCGGGCTCACCTATAAACGGAATTTTTTCTCTTTGTTATCTTAATCGCTAACATAATTACGTCACTCGGTAAACAATATACTGATATTCTTACTGCCTACAGTAACTAATCTATATATTATAACCACATAAGTAAAGTTACTCTGTGAGATAACAAGGGTTTCGTCAAATTCGTCATGTATATTCGCCTATTGGAGAAATCAAACATCTTCTTCCCATTAGTTTCAAACTAATTTTTAGCAAGAATGGATAGCCTATTACTACGTTAGCTACTACTAACGTGATGGACTGTTTCAATTATTGACACTGTTTCGGGGATATCCTTGTCCTATATGGGTTTCTTACTGGTTCTTCCCAACACAGAGGTTTTGTTTTTTGTAAAAGAGAATATTTTTTAATGTAATTCTTAATGAAATAAGAAATGAATGTAAGGCAGAATCCCCCCTAAGTGACAATCTATGGAAGAGGCCTTCTTTCAGCAGTTGACTTTTATCGGTTGTAATGGATGGATGGATATAAAATAGCTTTTTCAAAAATTACCAAACTTAATATATCCCAACAAACGGCTAATGAATAACTCAAAGGTCGGCCCGAAGAGGAGATTACCTTCCTCAGACCTATTTGTCAGTCCGAATGGCGAAGGCAAAATATTTCGCAATTTCGGAGAATCCTTAATTCTTTTTTATTATTTTCATATAAAAAAAAAACATTACACAGAATTTTCTCCTGTATTATGGAGGCAGTTTATATATATATATATATATATATATATAAATTTCACATGGACAAACGTAGAGACCCGGAACAATTATTTTTAGGCCATACAATTACTTGTTCCGTGCTGGATTTGAATCTGCAGCCCAAAAGAGCTCCAAAGAGCTGCCTAAAAGTCCACTAGTGGACTATCTAGAAATTTGACAAATATCGAACTTCGAAAAAAGTCTTACCGTTTTCGTGGTAGGCACCTCAGTAGTAGTGATATATTGCGTAGTCGTCTCAGTGGTAACTGGCATGGTATCCGTGATCGGTGGTAGAGTTTCAGTGCTTATCACATCTGTAACTTCTGTGGTCACATAACTGTCGGTGGTGGTCACCGAAGGTACAGTAGTCGTCGGATATTTCCACGTAGTACTCGATGTTGGAGGCCTATAATGTTCATCTTCAGAGCTTTCACCGCTCATTTCTCGTACCTGTGGTGTTACAGTGCGTGTTTACAATTTGTTTCAGTATTGTGTAGTTAATTTTGTGACGTCAACATAAAATTTGAATTATTTATGCCCTTATAGGAGATGGGCAGCAGCATAGAATACTATAATATATACATAATAGAACGGGGAAGTGGGCGGAGCCCGTGTAGCCACTAAAATGTCACTAACATGTCAATTCACACGTATAAATGTCAACACCAGATGTGTTTTGACGTAACAATCGTTTTCAAATGTCGCATGCAAATTATTTAGAAAATACCAAATTGCACACTATTTACATATAAATATGTATTAAAATTTAAACGATTTTTTAATGATGATTTTGAACATTAATCAGAAGTCTAAAATGTGTAAATTTACTCAGTCAGTCAAAACAGAGAATCGGGTTTTTAGTATTGATAATACGACGTAATTGCTTATATGTGTGCTCCTGGTGACGCCGAATCTCGTACAAAATAAGTTTGACAGCCATTCTATTGTGTATTATAGTATTCTATGGGCAGCAGCGTCTCCCTAATAATAAAGAATAAATAAAAGAAACTGCGGTTGCCAACACGCCTACAAAGCGTGACAAGCAAGTCAAGCAAAGCCAGCCAAGCAAGCAACTGAGGCAAATATCCCTCCTATGCTGTAACCGTATCGATATATTCTTATAAGGAAAGAATATAATTGAGGTGTGTCTTTTTTTAAACCCTCAGGATTAGCCAAGTTGTTTTTAAATGTTAAAAAATGTTGAATTTGAATAACATATCTAGCCAATATAGGGAAATGAAAAAGGAGATGAACAGAAATCCCTTCGTCATCATTCAGTTTTGGACACTACTGAAACAGCAATCCAGATTATATGAAATAGTAATGTCCTCCAGAACGAACTTCGGTCACGGCGGCCAGTCTTAAGGCCTCGAAAATTTGGTGACAGTAGTACATTAAACTTAAAAATGGTATTCTTTAAGTTAATATCAAAAGTTAGAATAGAAGAGACTGTAGGAGATCGACCTTCACCCATCTGATAACCAGATGTGACCTATTTTTTATGAAATTTTATTGATTTATAAACACACGTATCGGAAATTATATACGTGGTAGAGCCATGCTGCAGTTATATTAGAAGTATAGTTGTGGCATGAATGGGTCGGCTCGACCGGGGAGGGACCACGCTCTCACAGAATACCAGCGTGAAATAGTAGCTTAATGCTGCTGTATTTCGTATGGTGAGTGTAGAGAACCGGAGACCCTTTTTACTGGAAACGAGGCATTCCATCTTAGTCCTCACGGGTGACAACGCATCTGCATTTTGATTCGTAATCGAGGATAGATGTGAATGTCTATGGGCCACAGCAACCACTTACCATCAGGTGGACTGTGTGCTCGTTTGTCACCCTAACCTATATTAAAAAAAAAAAGCACTTCGAATAGCTTGCTTTTTGAAAAGTGTTCATGGCTATTTTTAATTAAATAAATTTTTTTCATAGCCTTCTCTCTTTTGATAACCGAATACAGATAGTTTTTAATATGGAGAATATGCCGTGGTAGGCTTGCCTACTTATTTTTCATACCTACCTGAAAAGCAGGTATGAACAGGTAAGTCAATATAGGTAACTACACTGATGTGTTAACCAATAATAAGTGATATCATAAGAAAGATAATTTAATTGCGAAAAGAATCGTATAGGCTTGCTTGCAAAAACCGTTCATGGATTATTATGGTCATGCTCTAAAGTTTTAAAATCTGAGCAATTAAATATGTGCAAGAGAGAAAGTAGCGCGTCCGAAGTACGTATAATAGAACAGGACACAACATAGCAGCGCTCGCAACTTGTCTGTTAAATGTAACTACATAATACTAACAGATGGCATAAGCTGTGTGATCGACTGATCCTGCAATTTCCTGCCCCAGAAGTCCTCAACCCGGACGGTGGTGAAGACGGTCATAGGACGTTTTGTAGTACAGTCTTCGGTAGCTGTTGTCACCCACTGCACGCCCTCGTTGAAGTCCCCGATGCAAGTGTATGTGCGGCATTCGGGAGTTGATATTGATTCACCTAGACCATAATAAATTTTTATTAATTTATTTACCAGAAAACTAGGACTCCTTTTTTACCAAGGAGTTTGTCTATGTAGGTTTTTTTACGTGGTAAAGCCAGCTATATTGCTGTAGCAGGAATAGGCAGGAGTCGGCTCCATCGGGGTAGGACCACGCTCTCTGAGAATATTAGAGTAAAATAGCAGCTTAATGCTGCTGTGTTTCGTACGGTGAGTGTAGAGAACCGGAGACCCTTTTTATTGGAAACGAGGCATTCAATGTCAGTCCTCCGGCGTGACAACGCATCTGTATTTTGATTATAAATTGAGGACAGATATAAATATCTGTGTGCCACAGCATCCACTCACCATCAAGTGGACTGCGAGCTCGTTCGTCAAATCAAATAAAATCAAATCATTTATTTCGCTAAAACATGAGTACAGACGGATGGATACAGAGTCAATATTTGTTTCCACATGTTTTGCCTTTTATGGCATGCGTAAAAATTGTTTAAAATAAATATGTTAAAAAACAAATTAAAATAAAATAAAATAAAAAATAAAAAATTAGAAATGAACACTTTTATAAATTTTCTTTTTCTTTTATAAACACTTTATATTTATGTTTTTAGGAAAACATAACAAAATTAGAAAAATTAATTTTTGTTCATTTGAGAAGTATCACGCAAAATCCGGGATCTATAGTAATTTACTTAGTTAAGCAAAATCAATAAAAATGAAATCAAAATTTATGGTTAAAGAATTCATTGATATTATAAAAGGCAGTATTTATTAGCCACTGCTTTAAACTTTTTTTCATTCGCCTTAATGGCTGTTCACGAATATTTTTAGGAACTTTATTATAAACCTACACATTATGAGGCAATTTCTCTGGAATAATGTAGTTTTACAAGATGGCATGAGTAAACGTGTCGGATCTCTTTTTGCTAGATAGTTATTATTTTCCTGCACGGTAACAAATTGATTAGAATTATTTTTAACAAAAACACAGATTTCTAATATATATAAACCAGTTAAAGTGAGAATACTTTTTTCTTAAACAGGGGTCTACAGCTTTCAAGAGGGCCTACATTACACAGTGCACGAATACATTTCTTCTGACTTAGGAAGGCTTTGTTTGCGTCAATTGAGTTGCACCACAGGAGTAGTCCATATCTTAAAACGGATACAACGTACCCGCAGTAAGCAATACGTGTTGCTTGTGGACCTGCTACATTTTGAAGTTTACGTAGTGCATAAACAAATTGATTAATTTTTTTGCATACTTTTTGCAGTGTAATTTCCAATTTACATACCGGTCAATAATAACACCTCGGAATTGCGTATCTACTACCTCTATCAATCTTTCGCCCTTATATCTTAAGTCCAGTTTTTGTTTTAGTTTTCTTTTAGTTTTACTTGCAATCCTTATACCTTTTGTGATCCACTTTGGAGCGAGATCGTTTGTTTTTATTTTATATTTTTGTAATGAAAAACAGAGGTCATATAATAAACAAACATTGATTAAAACTACTTTTACGGATTTTATCGCGTTTTATTTATTTTATTTTTAATACCCGATGTTTCGGGTGCTTTCCAGCACCCATGGTCACGGGGGCCTGAGGTGACTGACGTCCTGATGTCAAAGTTAACCCGGAGTACCTTCAGCTTTTTAATTATTGTCCTTGGTCCGATCTACGCAGAATGAACTAACTGTGTTTTGAAGTCTTGCAGTGGTATGCTTGGGTTTAGTTTTAATTTTATTAATTATAGGATCCCAAGCATGTGATAGTACCCAGCCTCCTTCTCTATTGAAATTAGGATTTTTTTTTAATTTCAATAGCCTCACGTATCATCCTTGGTAGGAATCAATGTTCTTTCGCGAGGATTTGTGGTCTATCAAATCTGATGTAATGGTTGGGGTCATCTAGGATATGATCGCAAACTGCAGACTTCCCGGAACGTTGATGCTTCACGCAGCTATGTGTTCTTTTACGCGGGTTCTAATTGATCTCTTTGTTTGCCTTATATATGAGAGACCACAATCACAATCAAGCTTGTACACTCCCGCATCTTGTAAAGGAATATGACACTTGACGGATGGTAAGAACTGACTAATCTTCTTCGGCGGCTTGTAGAATGTTCTAATAGAAACTCGCTTCAAGATGTAGCCAATCGTTTCTATGACACCTCTGAAATATGGTAGTACAGCAGGCACAATCTCGACTGTTCTCGACTGTTCACTCAGTCACTGTGACGAAGGCGCGGGACCCGAAGCTTGTTGTCGTCCAGAACCTGCTTGACGTGCTGAAGCTCGGCGGCCAGGTGTTTCATGTCACACATCCCTCGTGCTCTCTGTAACAAAGATTTGCCCACGGTAGCTAACTGTAAAGGATGATGTTGAGATTCACCATTTAAGTATCGGTTTGTATGGGTCTGTTTTCTATACAGAGTATGACCTATGGTGTTGTTAGGATTTCGGAGGACTAACACATCTAGGAAAGCTAAGGAATTATTTGCCTCTAACTCCATAGTGAATTGAATTTTAGAGTTTATGGAATGATGTTCTAAAAACGCAGTTACTTGGTCTGGTGGTAAAAGTGTGAAAGTATCGTCTACGTACCGCTTGTAGAACCTTGGGGTAACAGGTGCAGTAAGGAGGGCTTTCTCCTCAAAGTCTTCCATGAATATATCGGCGACAATGGGAGATACAGGTGAGCCCATCGCAACACCATCTACTTGCTTGTAAAACTCTTCCTTCCACAACAGATAGCCAGATGTAAGGCAATGTCTTAGTAGTACTGCATATTCTGATGGCATGTTATTTTCATCTAGTTTCCTAGTTATTAATGGGATGCAGTCTTCAACAGGTCTTCAATAGAGACTGAACATCAAAACTGACCATGGTTTCATTGTCAGTAAGACTTAGGTCTTTTATCTCACTGACATGAACACTCAATGACAAGAATGAATTTAACGCGTTAAAAACCTTACATCCTAATTTCAATAGTGAAGGAGGCTGGATACTACCACCTGCTTGAGATCATATAATTAATAAAATTAAAACTAAACCCAAGCATACCACTGCAAGACTTCAAAACACAGTTAGTTCATTCTGCGTAGATCGGACCAAACAAGACAATAATTAAAAGGCTGAAGGTACTCCGGGTTAACTTTGACATCGGGACGTCAGTCACCTCAGTCCCCCGAGGCCATGGGTGCTGGAAAGCACCCGAAGCGTCGGGTATTAAAAATAAAATAAATAAAACGCGATAAAATCCGTAAAAGTAGTTTTAATCTACCTATTAAACGCGATCAAAAAACTAATATAATTTTACAAAGTTGAAAAACATGAAAAAAAGTTTTATACGTGGTAGAGCCTTATTGCAGTTATATTAGTTGTATAGTTGTAGCACGAATGGGTCGGCTCGACCGGGGAAGGACCACGCTCTCAGAGAATACCAGCGTCAAATAGTAGCTTAATGCTGCTGTGTTTCGTATGGTGAGTGTAGAGAACCGGAAACCCTTTTTAATGGAAACGAGGCATTCCATCTTAGTCCTCATGGGTGACAACGCATCTACATTTTGAGTCGTAATCGAGGATAAATGTGGATGTTTATGGGTCACAGCAACCACTTACCATCATGGACTGCGTGCTCGTTTGTCATCCTATCCTATAAAAAAATTCAAAGCTCACTTGTTTACAATCTTCTTACTTCTAAAAACTACGAATTATGATGATGAGATCCAAGACAATATGAGATCCTCTGATACAAAAAACATGTGATCGGACGCTATAGTGTACCGGGGATGGCAATAATATCCTCGAGACCGAATTTTATTCAAGGCAGTCAGACTCAACGTAGACTAGCCATTAACGCGAGGCAGGCATATGTGCACGAATGTAGTATGCACATGCACAGGTGCACACTCTATTTCCTCGCTCTCATGATCCGATGGAACGGCAATCCGGGAGATCAGGTGCAGGATGAACTTGTTACCCGAGGCATGGGAGTGAAACATCGCCAACAATCTGACTCCAGGCTATTACTAAGAATTTCTTGTCAGAAAAACTCAATAACTGATATTTGGCCTGACCCGGGATCCGAACCCAGGATCTCAATATTAGCAACCGCATATACTACCACTAAACCACCGAGGCAGTCAGACCGGGGATGGTACAGATGGTAAAACAAACGCCCAGCATACTGGTTTGAAATTACAACATAACGCTATTTTTTTATTAAAATTGCAGATGACCATGGGCTACAGTAACCACTTACCATCAGGTGGACTGTAATTTAGTGATAGCTTTAATTTTATAAAAAAATAACAAGCCAAACATTAAAACTTTGCTGAGTTTAAGTTTATTTTAAAAAAATTCTATTCATTCTATAAAGAAGAACAAAGCCAAGATTCCCACCGTAGTTACACAATCGGCATGCACATTAAAGGTAAAACATTATTATCGACGATTAATACTTGGAATTTGGTTCTAGGCCGATAATTTAATACTCTACGTTTTCTGTCAATGAAATTGGCTCAATTATTACCAACAGCACTATTATTAAGTAACAATGATTGACGCGATTTAATGATTGACGATTACTTTAAAATTGACATATTTTTATGAGTAAGCGACGAATTACCGTAGTGCGAGGTCTTCTAAATGTCGCTTAGCTGTCATTCAAACTTCCGTAAAGGTTAAGAAAGGCTTTATCTGAACGACGCCAAAAGATTTACTGTCCTACTCATAACTCCTTTTCTAGAGTAGTGGCCGGGCCTGATGTTGAGTTGATGCTGTGACCCATAAGACATCTATATTTATCCTAAATTAAGAATCAACATGCAGATGTGTTGTCTGTTGTGGGTCTCCGATTCTCTACACTCACCTCACAAACGAAACACAGTAGCATTAAGCTGCTATTTAACGCTGGTATTCCGTAAGAGCGTTGTCTTAGCCTGGTCGAGCCAACCCATTCGTGCTACAACTATAATAATATCCTCCAGACTGAATTTC